TGATTACCTTTAGTCGCGGCGCGGATCGCTTCTTGTCCTCCACCTCCACCCCCCTCTCACTCTCACTCTCTTTCTCCCCTGTCAAGCTATACTTCCTGTCTGCTACTACTTTTACTATCTCTTAGCCCTCGCACGCTATTGCATCTGCTTTTGTCTGATGATCATCCTTTTTTAACTTATATTTTCCCATCTTATTATTGTTCTCATTACGAAACAGCGCCGTTGCCTTTCTCCAGTTATTTCGCACCTTTCCCCACCCTCACAGCTATTTTCATGCTACTACTATTCATGACTTTCTACTAGTACTCACTACTTTTGTTATTAACCGCTGTCACTCCTGTTCCGCTCCGCTTTCCCTCCCACCCCCCTCCTCCCTCCCTCCCCTCGTTTGCTCCCCAACCGGTTATTGTTTGCCTTGGTTCGCTGATCGTTTGACCGTTGTTCTTCCCAACCGCCGCTACTTAATCCATGCTAAGCTAACTATTGAAAAAAAGAAGCTACCGGCTGCTTGCGTCAGGCTCTCTCGCTGATCGATTTTCTACCCCTCCTCGCGCGTCCATTGAATCTTGAATTGCGCCTGCCTTCTATGCTCCCTGGGTTGCGCTCAACACAGTGACCAGAATATTGCGGACTCTGAAACAAAGAACCACGGATCGAATAGCACCGACATTAGCATTCGTACCATTCTGCCCATTCCCCGAATCGGAAACTTTCTGCGTTTGCACGTTCCACCCAATACTCTCCGGTCGCACAACTGAGTTTTTGATGCTTGTCTGGGATATCATGTCCTCCTGACTGTATGACTATCCCACTGAGTCGACTATCCACCGTGGATCCGCGGCAACCAGGAATTAGTGGCCATAATCGGGGCCTCTTGAACGCCGACGTCGTCCCGATCAACGACAAGCAGAAAGTCTTTCTTGCCGGTTCTGGCCCTCCGTCGCCAATGCATCGCGTACAACCTCTGGACGGATCGCATGGTCCGCCCAGTGCTCCAGCAGTCTACGAGCAGCCATGGCGCCCTCCGTACTCGTCTTCTTATGACGGACATCCCGCGGACCAGCGTCGCACATCGAATGCTCCTCAGCCTGCGCTCCCACCCCACGGATACCCGATGAACCCAAACCGTGAGCTGCCGCAGCTCCCACCAGAAGTCCCATATGGCCGACAGGGCAGTTTGCCTGGCCCCGTGCATACCCCTCCAGAAGCCCCCACTCCTCATCCCAGCTTTCGTCCTATGAATGGAACTCCCCATGAGGCCGCCCCTCATTCAGCACCCCCCGACTATCGCTCACGGATGTCTTTTACACCTCAGGAGCCTCACAGCAATGGGGACGCTCCGCTCCCCGCCCACACGTTACCCCCGACTCAGTATCCCACTCCGGTTCCGCATTTGTCGCATACTCCTACGCCGTACGATTCAGGTCTTTACGGAAACCAGGCGTACGGGATACGCCAGCAGCGAAAGGCCGCTCGGGCGCAACAGGTGAATTGTCTCCTTGCAGCGAAGTTAGCTGAGATATTGATCGGGAAACCCTGACTAACTCGTGAGCTTTTGCTGTCTTTGAAGGCCTGCGATCAGTGCCGAACGAGAAAGGCCAAGTGCGATGAAGGCCGGCCTGCTTGTAGCCATTGCAAGGAGAACAACTTGATATGTGTTTATAAAGAAGTTCCCCCTCACAAGTCCGTGGCCCGGCAATTGCCACTCTAATAGTTCGATGGACATGTGCTGACGACGTATCCAGGCAAGAAAAGGCAACACAGCTTCTTCTGGACCGTATCTCTCAGTTGGAAGACGGTCTCATCGAAAAAATCGATCGCATTAATGCACTCCAGGTCGAGCACACGAATCAACTCACTCAGCTGTATCCTCGGTTGAAAGAGGCTAAAGCGATAAGCACCAAGGAGACGACAGAGAAGCAAGCCATTCCTCGGATATCGAAAGCGGATATACCTGATATCTTACAAAAAACGGAAACCAAAGAAGAAGACATGAACGCGATCGTCGGACAGGAGCTTGAAAGAGCCGAAGGGGAAGTGATTCCACAGGGTGAAGACGGTGATCTTTCAATTCCCGTTGAGCATACCACTGCAGCCCACAAGTTGCTTTCGTGGCCGTCTATCAAGGCTCTTCTCGAACCGAGAGAGTACGATGAAGATTATGTTATGAAGCTGGAAGAGGAGCGAGGATTGATTCTCGTTTACGGCCGCGGTGAAGGACACGATACTAGTGAAAGCCCAGCAATGACATTCTCATCATCATCGTCCCGGTCCAACTGGGATCAAAGTTACAGCAATGGTGCTCCTGCTAGCGGCCAGTGGAACCCAGGCGCTGTCCAAAATGGCACTCATCTCAAACCACTCGGACCCAGTATTGATAATTTCGGGATATTCAGCACTGATGCCAAAACCGTTCGTCGTTATCATCAAAGCTACCTGAACCACATGCATAAGCTTCATCCATTTATCAACCTGACCGAATTGAGCGCAAGCATCGAATCATTCATTCAGAAATACTGCTCACCTGACGTTTCTGTTCCGGTAAACATCCTGAACAGCCATACGCCCGGCGACATTCCACGCGGTGCGAAAAGGAAGCGTTCTTGCGATACGCTACATGGTGGCGGATGCGACATCCAGTTTTCTCCTGGTGCCAAACACGAAGGCTCTAGCGGACGTCGCGTGGAGAAGTCACTGGAAAATGCTATTGTTCTCTTGGTTCTTGCACTTGGCAGTATTTGTGAAGTTCCGGGAGCCATCCCTGGTCCAGTTACTGACACGCCCGTGGACTTTCAAAAGGAGCGGATTCCTGGACCCTCTACACGCAGCATGCTATCATCGGCAGATACAGAACTAGTTATGCAGTCCCAGGGAAGTTTCTTCTCGCAGACAAGTAACCATTCATTTTCATCTGCTACCGGGGGGCAGAAGGCTGCTTCCGATCGGTCGCCATACCCGGATAATAGTCACTTAAGGAACGTGGATGTCATTCCTGGCTTGGCATATTATGCGTACGCCGCACAGATCTTGGGGAGTTTGCAAGGCGCGAACGGGCTGTACCATGTTCAAGCAGCCTTACTAGCAGGACTTTATGCGGGACAATTAGCACATCCTTTCCAGAGCCATGGATGGATCTACCAGGCGGCCAGAGCATGCCAAGTGCTTGTCCGATCGTATGTATTTTCCTATTTTACTCTTCTTTCTCTTTTTCACCCTGAACACCAGGAGTTTGCAAGAAAAATCCCGTGCTAACCAGTCTCAGGAAACGGTATGAACAAATGAATGACGGCCCGCTGAAAGACCTATATAACTTTGCGTACTGGACCTGCCTGCAGCTCGAGAGGTAAGCACGTTGCTCTCATTATGCGATCCATGAGTACTAATAAGTCGTTCATATAGCGACATCCTTGCCGAACTAGATCTTCCGGCTAGTGGTATATCTCGCGCGGAAGCACGGATTGAGTTGCCAAAGGGCCGAACTCTCTCTCTACCTAACGACCCTGCTGCTCCGAACACCATGATGATGTTTTTCTACTCTGCCCAGATCCATTTGAGAAAGGTTCTGAACCGTGTTCACACCGATCTATACAAAGTCGAAAGTAAGTTGATCTTAGGCAGGCAGGAGCCCTTGGCTGTACTAACGCTTCTCTGCAGAACAGAATGAGAACAGGTGGTCTGCTAACGTACAGGAGATTCTGAGCATGAACCTTGAACTGTGGAGAAGCAGCTTACCTGACATAATGAGATGGAAGGACACGGACCCTCCACATGAGGATATTAATGTGGCTCGGATGCGAGCTAAGTACTACGGTGCACGATACATTATCCATCGTCCACTCCTTTACTGGGCTCTGCATCATTCACATCCCACCGAAAACGGTCGATCGGCATCAGTGGATTCCCCTACAGGATCGGCGATGTCGGGAGCCAAGTCGCAGCAGGTTTCGCCCTCAATGGCGCACAGCCAACGTGCTATCAATATGGCACGATTGTCTAGTGATGTTGGCCCTATGGGTCGATCGGCACCGACGCCAACCCCCGCTCCGACAGGATCGCGACCAGCACTCGCATATCGCGACCTCAATCCGAAGTTACGAAGAGCGTGCAAAGTATGCATAGACTCCGCCATATTGAGTACCGAGGCCTTTGATGGCATCACAGGCCGGCCGGTAGTAACTAATATCTTCGGCACAGCTCATGCGTAAGTGGAGCCCAAAAGGGAGTGTGAAGCCGGATAGTGGACGTCGCTGACCTTGCTGATGCTGTGCTAGTCAATTCGGTAACATGCTGGTATTGTCGGCCACGTATATGTCAAGTCTCTCAGAGCTGGTTGATCGGAACGACCTCGATCGGTTATTTAAGCGAACCATACGCTTTCTCCTCCAAAGCCGCGAGATATCGCCAACCCTACGAGCCGATGCAAAGATTCTCAGCGAGATATACGAGAAGATCTTTGGGGAGCCAGCTGATATCGTGGCTCCGTTATAATACTGACAGCAGGGGCTCAAAATTTTCGCGTTGCCTCAGGGCCATCGAGGCGTAGAGATGGCCCCATGCACCTGATTTTGCTTTTTTGCCTTTTTTTTTTTTTTTTTTT